ATGCTTTCCCTCTCATTCAGTTCCCCCTCACGTTGATCTTCCTCTTCCTCAGATTCCGAGTGTACATCGGTAATAAAACAAACTTTTCCACGAACAACTTTAAGGCTTAATTTTGAGAGGGATTTTTCATGGAGTATGTTTTCTGGTTTAAAGGGGTGGGTTTCTTCATTGGTTAGAGGAACTTTGAAGGTTGGAAGTGGCGGTTGGTGTTTTGGGGTTTTTTAAGGTGAGCGGGTGCGTGTGGTAAGTGAGGTGAAAAGATAGGTGACGGTTGAGAGTTTAGTGGGATAGAGAAAAGGTTGTGATTTATTTTGACAATGATAAAAAATTAAAAAAAATAAGATAAAATCTAATTGAGAAAAAAATCTTTTTGTTGTTTTTTAAATTTATAAGATAACAAAAATAATAAAAAGATAAAAATAAAAATTGAAAAATAAAGAAAAATAAAACTACGAAAGAAAAAAAATTGCCAGTAAGTTACTTCAAAGTAAAATACTGGTTAACATGTACAGAGCTTTACAAAAAGGAACTTGGAAAATAATATGGCTTAATTTGTCTTCTTCATCAACATAATCACATGATCACATACTCATTAGAATTACACACTCTTTCATTGCAAGATTCGAGATTATGTTTTTCACACCAAGGTTATATATAGCAATTGCTCAGTTGTTTCACTAAGACATACCTTGGGGTTCCAAGAAGAACTGCTCAATTCAGCTTTATCATTCCGAGTTCCAATCGCATCTTTTCGAATTTTTCTCTACTCAAAGACTTTGTTAGAATGTCATCAATTTGATATTCAGTTTGTACAAATTCTAGTTTAATAGAGCCTTTTTCCACATTGTCTTTTAGAAAATGATGCCTAACATGAATATGCTTTACACGTGAATGATGTACTGGATCTTTTGATATGCAAATAGCACTTGTATTATCACAGTATATTGGAACACATTCAAGAAACTATGCCAAAATCACGTAATTGTTGTTTTATATGCAGCAGCTGCTACGTATTCTGCGTCTGCTGTGGATAGAGCAACTGTATTCTGTTTCTTGGAACTCCAAGAAACTAAAAAAGATCCTAGGAATTGGACCATACCTGATGTACTTTTTCTATTCACCAAATCCCCAGCATATTCGGCATCGGCAAATCCAGTAAGATCATATGTGTCACTTCTTGGGTAGAATAAACTCAAGTCGTCAGTTCCTTTGAGATATCTCAGTATTCTCTTGACGGCTGTTAGAGATGCGATTCTTTGGGGTTTGATTGGAACCTAGCACACAGACCAACACTAAAAGAAATGTCAGGTCTACTTGCAGTTAAGTATAGTAAGGAACCAATCATACCTCTGTACTTTGTCTGTCCACACAAGTTCCTGAGGGATCTTCGTCTAACCTAGAGTTAGTTCCCATAGGAGTGTGGTTAGTCTTTCCGCTGTCAAGGTTATACTTTTTCAGGAGTTCCTTGACATATTTTTGCTGATGTATAAATATTCCTGATTCTGTTTGTTTGATCTGCAGTCCTAAAAAGAAATTGAGTTCCCCCATCATGCTCATTTGGAACTCACTGCACATCAAGTCAACAAAGTACTTGCACAAAGATTCGTTAGTTGCACCAAATATAATATCATCAACATAGATCTGCACAACTAAGAGATGAGTTCCTTTAGATTTTAAAAACAAAGTTTTATCAATTTTTCCTCGTTTAAAATCATTTTCCAAAAGGAACTTGGACAGTCTTTCGTACCATGCTCTTGGAGCCTGTTTTAGCCCGTAGAGAGCCTTATCAAGTTTAAAAACATGGTTTGGAAAGTTTGGATTCTTGAATCCAGGGGGTTGATCGACGTAAACTGTTTCTTTTAATAAACCATTCAAAAACGCACACTTTACGTCCATCTGATACAGTTTAAACCCATAAAAGCAGTAAAAGATATTAAAATTCTAATAGTCTCAAGTCTAGCAACAGGAGCAAATGTTTCCTCAAAATCAATACCTTCCTGTTGGTTATATCCTTTACAACCAACCTAGCCTTATTTCTTACAATTGTACCATATTCATCAAGTTTGTTTCGAAAGACCCATTTTAAACCTATGACCTTTTTATCTAGTGGCTTAGGTTCAAGATGCCATACCTGATTTCTTTCGAATTCATTAAGTTCCTCTTGCATGGATAAAATCCAGTCAGGGTCTTCTAAGGCTTCTTTATGGTTGCGAGGTTCCAAAGTAGATAGAAAAGCATTGAAGGCACAGAAGTTCCTCATTTGCGATCTAGTCTGAGTTCCTTTGCATAAGTCACTAATAATTTTGTCCAGTGGGTGTGACTTTTGGTGCTTCCAAGGTTTGGGCTGGAAGGTTTGGATAGTAACTCGACTATTCTTATTTTCTGAGCCAGTTTCTTCTTCTTCAGTGATTTCCTCTTGTGTTATTGGTTCCTCGGCAGGTTCTTCATTCTGAGGATGTTCTCTCAAAGGAACTTCAGTCTGTATGTCGAGTTCCTTCTCTGGATTTTCATGATTTTCATTTAATCGAGTTGGCTGCTTATTTGGAATTACTGCATCTTCTTCTTGTTCTTGAGGACGTACTAGACCAATTTCAAAGTCATAGTCCTCATGTTCCTGTGTACATGGAAGTGGATTAGTTTCATCAAATATAACATGCACACTTTCCTCAACACACATAGTGCGTTTATTGTAAACTCTATACGCTTTACTGTTAGTAGCATATCCGAGAAATACGGCTTCATCACTTCTTTCATCGAATTTCCCTATGTTCCTTTTACCATTATTATGCACAAAACATTTACAACCAAATGCTCTCAGATGAGATATATTCGGTTTTCTGCCTTTCATAGTTCATAGGGTGTCTTATTTAATATAGGCCTTAGCATGACACGATTTATAATATAACAGGCTGTATTCACGGCTTCTGCCCAGAAGTTCCTTGGAAGATCGCTGGCTATTAACATGGTTCGAGCCATGTCTTCTAAGGTTCTGTTCTTCCTTTCCACAACTCCATTTTGCTGTGGAGTTCTTGGAGCTGAGAAGTTATGAATTAAGCCTTGTTCCCTGCATAAATCATCAAATTTAAAATTCTCAAATTCAGTGCCATGATCAGATCTAAGGTGTATCAGTTGATGTCCGGTGGACTTTTGAATTCTCCTGAAAAATGTGACAAACTCATCAAAAGTCTCATCTTTTGCTAGACATAAAAATTACCCATGTGAATCTAGAATAATCATCAACAATTACTAAGACATACTTCTTTCCACTTCTACTTTGAATCCTCATAGGACCACACAAATCCATATGAATTAACTCTAAAGGTTTCGTGAAACTCACCATTTTCTTGGATTTAAAGGATGATCTGACCTGTTTTCCTTTCACACAAGCATCACAAATTTTGTCACATAGGAACTTGATTGAAGGAAGTCCCTCTACCAAGTTCCTTGTTCTTAATTTATCAATCAAAGAGAAACTTTCATGACCAAAACGTTTATGCCACAGTAAAGGATCATCCTCAATGACACTGAGGCAAGTTAAGTTGTTCCTCGGAACTGTATTGAGATCCACTGTATAAGTGTTCCCTTTCCGAGTTCCTTCCAGCAAAACTTTCCCAGTGTCATTCTGAATGATGCTACATTTTTCAGAATCAAAACTTACTGAGTTTCCTTTATCACAAAATTGTGATATGCTTAATAAGCTGTGTTTGAGGCCCTCGACTAAAAAAACGTTATCAATAGCTTGGGAACTTGACCTTCCAACTTTTCCTACGGCAACAATGCTGCCTTTCTTATTATCACCAAAGGTCACAGTTCCTCCTGTATAGGCCGTCAGTGAGAGAAATCTTGATTCATCTCCTGTCATGTGCTTGGAACAACCACTATCGAGGTACCATTGGTTGTTCCCCCTCACTACGACCTGCAAAAGAAACTAAGGGTTAGATTCAGGAACCCCATCTTTCATGGGTTCCTTCGTTGATACAACAGACTCATTTTTCTTTTGCCATACATAAACTATATTTTTAGTGGACTTAAGTTCCTTTCTTTTGCATTCAGTATCTTTGTGTCCTGACTTGCCACAGAAGGAACACACAGTCTCACTAGGAAGTTCCACATAGTTTTTCTTTTTACTACTACTCTTCTTTTTGTGGTTGAAACCCAAACCTTCTGTCCTTCTGGTTTGAGCTTCAAGTATCCACTTTGGAACTCCCATGTGGATTACACTCTCATTGTTTCTTGCTCTTTCTAGATCCTTTTCAAGGAACTCATTTTTGTCTTTAGTAACCTGCAATTCTTTTTTCAAATTTTCAAGATCATCATTAAAGGTTACTAAAGGCAATTGAAGAGCATTATAAGAATCAATGTTAGTGCATAGCAATTTATACTGAGTCAATTCAACATTTAACATGATATTTTCATTTTTGACTCTTTCCAGTGTTTCTTTAAGCATAGTATTTCTATCTAGCAAATCAAAGAATCTTCCCTGAACATCTGTTCTTGAACTATTCAAATATTTCATATGATCCTTATAGATTTCTAGAGCTTTTTCATTTTGTCCAAGTTTAAGACATATTTCTTTATATTCATCCAATGTTTCTATGAGCAAAGAAATTAATTTGTCTTTTGACAGGGATTTCAGAAATTTAGGTTCGAGATTTACCTCCTTTGACCTTTCACTGTGTTTAGCCATCAAACACAGGTTTGCAGTTTCTTCTTCCGTGGATTCTTCTTCATCCTCAGAACTTGTGTCTCCCCACGCAGCTATCATGGCTTTCCTGTAATCAGATTTTGAAAAGTTAGGAGTATTAGATTTTCCGTGTTCCTTTATTTTGCCTTTTCCTTTTTCTGATTCCCAGAGAGGGCATTCCTTGATGAAGTGATCTGTGTTCCCACATTTGTGGCAACCTCCTGTTTCCTTGGAGTATTGGTTCTTCTTGAAGTTCCTTTTCTTTTGGTCACCAAACCTTTTGTTGCGGTACAACTTTTTTAACTTCCTGACTAGCATGGCAGCTTCTTCCTCTCCAGATTCGGAATCCTCATCACTTGGTTGGGCAACTTTTAAAGCGATTCCTCGGCTTTTTGAGCTTTCTTGACTTTTGTTTGATAGGTGAAGCTCATGAGTTATCAAGGAACCTGCAAGTTGTTCAAGGTTAAAGGTTGTAAAGTCCTTTGATTCCTGCAAAGCAACCACTTTGGCTCTCCACCGTTCATCTTCAGGAAGGCTTCTTAGAATTTTGCGTACCTGTTCATCCATAGGAACAACTCTACCAAGAGAAACTAATTCATTAGTAATATTTTTAAAACGAGTAAACATTTCTTGAATAGTTTCTTTTGAACCCATTTCAAAACGTTCATATTTAGAAAGCAGTATATCAATTTTAGAACGTTTGACTTCATGAGTTCCTTCGTGGGTTATTTCTAGTAAATCCCATATTTCTTTTGCTGTTTTACATCCCATAACACGAGTGTGTTCATCTGGCCCTAAACCCCAAACTAGGAGTTTTTTAGCAGTAGCATTAATCTCTTTCTTCTCAAAGTCATTTCTATCATATTCAGAGATAGGTTTAGGAATTACCTCATTTTCTGCATTGGTCTTGGTTACCTCGTAATCTCCTACTTCGATAGCTCGCCAGACTTGATAATTCTCGGACTGTATGAACATCTCCATCCTTGTCTTCAATAGGCATAGTACTTCCCATTGAAGAGTGGTGGTCTTTGTGTAGAGTAACCTTCAGCTAGTCTCTCGTCCTTTGACATTGTTCCTCCAGGAACTTGACTCGACAGGGCTTCCTGCTTTTCCGAGTTCCTTGCTCTGATACCAATTGATAGAACAATGTATACTACAAGAGGGGGGGTGAATTGTAGTGTATGTAGACTATGGTAAATTTTGCGGAATTAAATCTACTACTAAGAAAAGACACTGAGATAGGCAATGAATAAATTCACTATGTAAAAATGATTTACAATCACTAATACGTTGCCTAGACTCAAGTTCCGTGAGGAACTCAAGTTACCCAACTGTGATCCCTCAATCACAGTTTCTCACACTTTGTGATTCTACTCCGAATCACTTGTACAGTGTAAACAACTCTCTCAAATCTCACACTTTACAACTCTCACAACCCAAACCCAATTACACAATGATTACAAGTATTTCTTAAAGAACTTAAGAGACTAAGGGTGGAAGGAACTTCTCTTTTAAACACTTTGAAACTCTATGCTCAGAGTACTTAAAATTGTTTTTCCACACTTTCAAAACTTAACGTTGATCTGTTTTTATAGGGAGATTATCCAAGCTTCCATCATGTTCCTACTTCCCCCTCAATCCCACGTTCACCTATACTGGGAAGTTGGGATGTAAGTGGAGGAAGTTGAGAACCATGATTTCACTAACTTGACTCCCAAATCCAACGTGCATCCTGTTTTTAAGCAAACAGAATTTTACCAAGTCAAAAATCAGTTTAAAAGAAAAATTATTAAAAAAGATAAATATTTATTTATTAAAAAGATATTTAAACAATTAATTAATTTAAAATAAATTTATCTTTTAAATTAAAGAATTATTTAGATTTTATTTATTTATAAAATAAATCTTTTCAACTGATTTTATCCCAATATTTTCAAACTGATTTTATCTCTTCCTTAAATTAAGGATTTTGAAAACTGTTAAAAACTTTTCTGAGTCATCCGTCAGTCGTCAAGTTCCTTCAGGAACTTCAGGTTCCTTCAGGAACTTCATGTTTCTTCTTAGTTCCTTCCAACACTTTTGTTTCTTAAGTTCATACACTGAGTAACTAAGTATATAGAGTTGTGAGGACATCTTGAAAGCTTGCATTCATCATCAAGTCTTCCAAACTTTGTTGTTCCTACTCCGGAACATGTATTTGTGTACCTGAATCTTTCTGTTCAACCAAGACTCATAAACATCATTAGTCAGAGTTTGTTTTATGTAAGTCAATCATCAAAATATTAAGGTAGTCAATTCAACAGTTAGTTTCTTTCCTAGCTAGCTAACTAGCTACGTACCATGCATGCACATCTATGTTATATCTATTTACTACTTCAATAATAATGAGCCCTACGTTATTATTAGTTTCATGCTTTTATCCCTAATTTTTATTTTCTCTTTACTATACTTAGGGCCTGTTCTCATTTACCGAACTCAGCTGAACTGAACTGAACTGAACTGAGTTGAACTGAACTAAACTGAAATGAATATTTTATAAGAGAAGGAAATTAGGAGCTGAACTGAACTGAACTGAATTGAATTGAATTGAATTTCAACGTAAGAGAACATGCCCTTAGCCTCTAATTTTACCTTTGTCCATCATTTTGGCTAGACATGCATTATTACACTTGGAACTTTTACTCATTACTACGGTTATTGCTTGCACTTTGATTTGCTATTCAAGGTGCGTGTCACTCTTTGCTCTAAAGTGTGGGATGAGCTCAGTAATGCATATATGATGAATGTAGGGAACTCCTCTAGCAGCTAGGTACGTAGGCTATCATTAAGGCAAGGGTCGCAGGACCAAGTGTGTGAAGCTAATCAAGTTGCTAGGATGACTAGATAGAAGCCGGAGATATCAATCGCCTTTTGTAGGATTCATCCAAAGCTTAGTAGGGATAAGCCTCTGGATAGTCTAAAATCTAAATGATGTAATTTTTTCTGCTAGCAGCCTTGTCCCCTAGCTCTTTGAATATGGTACCGCTAAGTATGTTAATGGGTTGTAAAATCTTAACTCTTGGAGGCCTGACCTTCACTGAAACTGTTGCTAATGCTGATGCTACAGTGTTATTAGTAATTTTTAATAAAATGATTAAAATCTTGCCTTCTTCACCCATGTCGATTAGTGAAAATTAGCGAGAATAGAATTTTTTTTAAAGGGTTTTTAGGGTTTAGAATGTAGAAGCTCCGATATCATGTCACGAATTAATTTTCCGTGGTTTGTATTACTGTAGATCAGCGTATATATACAAAATAAATCGGGCTTATAAGCACATATAGCCCAAAGAGCTAACTATACAATACACTACTAAATACACAGCTTAACACACTGACAAAATAACCCATGTAGTTAATCCCTGTAGCACTAATTTAACAAAGTAACCCCATATATGATGGTTGACCGCATGTAAAACTATGTGAATATCTATTATATAGTGCATGAAGTTTTCATACGTGAGATAATTAGTATGTATGGAATTGACTTTATAACAGATTTCTGTATACAGTAATATTATTAGCATCATTTATTGTTTGTATTGTAATTTTAGTAATGTAGTAATCCTATTGATGGGAAAGAGTATTCAATGGCTACATAAATAAAAATTATGATCACTATATTACTTTTTGTTCTAAACCCTCTATTTTGAAGGAGAAGATCTTATCCATTCATATGTTTAACTACTATGATTTTATTTATTTATTTATTTATTTTAACCCTAAGCAAAATTAATCTAAATAAAACTACTTTTAGCATTAAAAAAACGCTAAATCTCCATTTATTCATAACTGCTTCTCCATCGACGAATAGTTCCAACAATAATTACAGCCTTGACATGTGGTCTTGATGAGAAATTGGAATTTAATTTCCATACACTATATGTATAACGTTAGGAGTTCGATCGGATCAGATTAGTTATAATCAAATAGCATCAATAAATTATTCATGGTACTATGGTAGCACATAAAATCACAAAAATAGAAGAAAGGTGAGAGGAGATGAAGATTGATGGAATTTTGGCAGATGTAGTTTTGATTTTGGAGCATCATGAGGACTAGAGAGATTAGAGAGAAAGGAGAAATTGCAATTGTTTGATTTTGAGAAAGAGAAACCAATATTTTTACTACATAATTAAAGTAAAAGTTGTTCAAAAGGGTCTGTTTCGATTTTACTACAAACAAATTAAATAAATTGAACTGGACTTATTGAGGCTGAACTAAACTAAACTAAATAGAGCTGAAATGAATTGTTTATGAGAGAAGGAAATTAGGAATTGAAGTGAACTGAAATTAAGCTGAGCAGAACATCCCTAAGTCAACTTAATGAATGACATGGAATTATATTGACAAATGTATGACCATAATTTAATAATTACAATGGCTACAAACCATTGCAAAATTTTCTCCTATTGACGAAAATTTAAGTAAAGTTGGAACCGGTCCCTTTATGTGCAAGCCCCACATACCCCTATCAACATTTTTCAAAAGCCTAAGGCTCATTAAAATGCAAAAGAAAAAGAAAGCAATAGAATATATTGGAAATTTTTATAATTTTTGCTTATCAAATTATTTTTATAATATCAATTTTTATATTTTTTGCTTATCAGTAATCAAAGATATTAACGATTTAATTTATGCATTGACAAACATGACTAAAGAAACGTGTCAACTAAAAAGAAACGGAGGAAGTATATATATTTATTAAAGGGGAATATTTGAAATGAAATGATATAAAAGCAAAAGGAATATAAAATACTACCTTTTTATTTATTTATTTTTGAATAGATATAAAATACTACCTCAGTTTTACATTATATAAAACAAATTACGGAGTAATATTTTTTGAGTTATAAAATTAGATACATGTGGTTTGCTTGAAAAAAAAACAAAAAGAATTAAAAATTCATGGAAACGTGTGGGAATTCAATTCCTATGTCAGCCATTACTTTTTTTTTTCCTTCCGTTCTTTAATACTTCGTATCTCTTATCTCTCAAGTGTAAACTACAATAAATAGTGCAACGCAAAGCATAATTATAGTGGAGAACTGGAGACACCTTATCAACCAGCATCATATAGTCTCAAATTTTCAACACTCAAGGTTAGTTCTCTTTATCTCGCTTATTATTATTAGTTTGCATATGTTAATTTTATGGCTATTTTTTAAGGAAACATATTTGTATTGCTATTGTTGCTAGTTTTATCATCATGTCATGTATGTCATACCATTCTCATGTCGTATTATTATAAATCATTAATTAATTTATACCATTTATCTTACTCAAACTAGAGTTGTGACATTTTTAAACCTTGTTTGGGTTAGCTGGCTATGCTCACTCTTTAGAGTGGTCAGGGAAAAAGAGTAAGAGATGACATTTTTTACCTTTTAAAGTGCCCATAGTGAGAATTGAAACTTAAACGCTAAAAGGTACAAATAAACCAGTCTAATAGACCGAACTTAGCTTATTATAGACTAAACAATGATGTATTATTTGTTAGTCATTGGAAATAGTATTATAAATATTGTTGAATTTATAAACTTTATTTTTCTGTATACTTTCGTTAATACATAAAAAATTAAATATATCAATGATCAAATACAGGCCGATCCATATCAAAGTTTAGCGTTGAGAGACATGAACAGACAAATAGAGGTGGAATGTGTAACAAACAAGGAAAATGAGATGCAAAAAGCAGAGGCAAAAGTGATAGAAAAACCAATAATAAGGAACAATCGTCAAGGACATAGAGCTGCGCTGGTCGGAATGAGTAATGAAACCAAGGATATTGGGCTGATGTTTCTCCAATACAATGATTGGTATGGAAGTGTGGTTTCTTTTTATCCTTCTGGCATGAGCCCCAAAACTTCAGATAATTTTGGCCATTCGCCGGACCCTGTTTATGGCTCCAAGGGCGCAGTAGTGTACTATGGCCAGGTCAATCAAACAACTCAAGGTGCATGGCTCTTGGCTTGGTCTGCGCCTATTGTTACCGGTGGCGCGGTTCCTCCCAACAACCAGGTAATATGTCGGAGTACTATTCAAACTTATATATATCGAGATCATAAAGTTATTTTGATTTGAATATTTTAAGTTTAATTTTGTTCTGGTATGATCTAGTCCGACTACTCCGTATTATTTATAGATATTATTGTTTCTATAATAGTCATCTTTAAGATTACTACACTATAATTACTTTTGATTGGATGATATTATTTATTTATTTTTTGCCGGTCAAACTTAATTAAAAAAATGGTTTTTTTTTTAAAAAAAAAAAAAACTCATAATCAATATTTGAAATTTAAAAATATGTACTTTTATAAAAGAAAAATAATTTTTAATAAGTTTGATAAAAAAAATAGCAAAAAACAGAGTATAATGATAGTCATATTAAGGATGACAGTACAATTTTCAATTATTTTTACACTAGTAATTTGATCTAATGTGGTCTGATTATGAATGACAATGGGTCGAATTTGTCCTTCAAAATCATTAATAGGAAGCATAAGCTTATTTATGTTTCAGGTATATGTTGAAACTGGCAATAAAAAGGACTTCGACAACATAGATTGGAATGTTATCGAAGAAAAACTGGATAAATCTAGCAAAGAAAGTAACTACACGGACCAAACTACTGGATGCACGGCCTTCGCTGAAATTAACCCAAACGATGACTCTGCTTTGATTCTTGCAACGTTCAATGCAAGATGATCGATCCTCAGCACAAGCCAGGTACTCAGAGAGGGCGTTACTAGCTAGCTAACAAGGACGTCCAATTATCTCTATTAATGTACGCGATACTAGTGTACGCGATTAAATAAAGGTGCTTGTATCGATCACTAATTTCGAATACTACACACTATGTTTATCTTTTAACGCTTGGGTTGTTTCTCCCTTCAAATTTTAAAATTAATGGTGTTGCTCTTGTCAAAAAAAATAAATTAACGGTGCTTAATTGTGTGGCCGAGATTACTTATTTATAAGGGTTATTCTATTCAGGTGTTACTCAGTCGATTGGTTACTTATAGAGATTTATTTTTAGTTTTAAAAAAGGTCTTTTACTAGAATTTCTTCAAGGAAATAAAAAGCTTTGCAATTTCACACAATTGATTGTAAAGTAGATGAGGTTAATTTTTCAAAAGACGTGAGAGTCAATGCCGGAGCTCTGCCATTGACCACCCGAAAAACTCAGCCTAGTACCCTATCACAACATAATTAATACAACGTTAAAAGTTCTTTTTCACTAATTTTTACTTTAAAGGTCCTTTTAAACAAAATCGACCACCGTCCTTTTGCACAAATTTTCCTAGTTTGAAATGCTCTATGATTCCAGATTATAATCCTCTGTGTAATGTAGGTACTTGGAAAACATACTAAACATGTGTCCGGTGTCTGCAATCGATGTCGTTGTAGTTGAAATTGAAGTTGATTGTTCCTTCAAATGTCAGATTCATTAGAGGGGATTCAATAATGACTTGATGTATAAGGGAAGGAATGGATTGAGTTTAATTATATTGAGATAGAAGCAAAACATTGTTGGAGGATAAGGCATTATCTCGGCAAATATGCCAAGATGATAACACCACTTTGTTAGGGAATTAGAATTTTCTTCGGAAAGACATTGGAATAAAGAAACAACTTTAATTTGTTAGAGAAAAAGAATTTTCTTGAGAAAGATGTTGGAATAGAGAAACGACTTTGTTATTAGAATAAGGAGAGACACTAGGTATAACTGATTTGAATTGAAATAAAATGACCCTAAGCAAGGACCTAAGATTGAAAGTAGCGACTTTAAATGGAAATAAGAATTCTATTGGGAAAAGAATTCTATTGGGAAAGGTACTAAGGTGAATAAAAAACAAGTGTTTGCAAGGAAAGTTCATGGATCAACATTTACTTTTGATGCAATGATGAGGGATTAATGTGGTTGGCTTTTGATAGTAGGCAAGTGCTTTTGAAGTCTGTTTACATGATTGATGAAAGAACTCTTCACTCGAATTAGTTTCGGTTAACCACTACTCCCTCTGTTTTGAAATACTTGCTTCATTTATTTATGAATTGGATAAAGTAATAAAATATGGAAGTAGTGGGGTAGGGAAAAATATTAAAAATTATATAAAAAAATAATAATAATAAAAGTAGTTGAGAGAATAGAGGAGAGATAATATGAAATTAATAAAATATTATTTATGTTGGGTACATTAGGTAAGAGAAATGAAGTAAATATTGTAAGTATTTAAAATGGAGCAAGTATTTAAAAACGGCCAAAAAAAGATTAAAAACGGAGGGAATAATAGCTAATAATTAGCTCTAGGGTCTTTTTTTTTAACGCAAAACACCTTCTTATTTAGCATGCACTTTAGGGAATAGATTATTAGAATATGTAAACGGAAAAATTAATCAAAATAATTTATACACATACTTTTAATAACCCTTCTCTAATCTTGGTGTTAAAATTATTTTGATAAAATATCTCGTTTACCTACTCTAATCAATTTCTAAAAAATTAAACGTGTTAAAAAGGTGTGTTGCAATTAAAAGAAAACAGAGGAAGTGTTAATTAGTGAAAAGTAATTAAGGGCGGAAAAATAATAAGGTGAAGCAAAAAAATAGTAAGACTGCTTTTTTCAATTAAGATAAAAAGTCAATTACCAAACACTTATTTGTTGTTATTGACCATGTTAAAAAGCCTAACATAAGAACCTAATGAAGACCAAAAAAAAAAAAAACATTGGTCAAAACCCCCTTTAATTTCAATTGTGACGAAGCATGATAGAGATATATATCAATTTTGAAATTCATTTACTAGTTTAAGCTTTTGATTGAGTAGTTCTCTAACATAAACTTAGTTTTGGAATATGAAACAATAAAGTATGCCTACTCATATAGAACGAGTAAAGCAATAGGGCAACAAAGAACTTGAGCAGAGACTAGCTCAATCAATTAATTTTATTCAAGACAAGAAACATATATGATGTGTTAAAGGATCAACTCAACAAAAAACTTAAACTGATGTTGAATTCTAGAAATATGTTTTATACTCTATCACGTACACCCCCTCACACAAGAGCCCATTGGGTTTGAAGTGTGGTTGTAGCATAGGCCCTGATCCGCATATCCTGCGCAAAATATTCCACTTGAAAGTGGAGGTGGACGAGATTCAAAGTCATGACCTTGATGGCGTCACGCTGGCTTTGATACCATGGTAAATTTAGGAAAACTTCTCAAATTAGAGTTGTACCATTGATCAATATATATATAGAGTTTACAATATTAATCCTAATCACGTTAGGAAATCTAGTACGATGAGGATACAAAATATACATAAAAAATCTATCGTAAACTGCAACAAATATTATCATAAATATAATAACTATCATGTTAAATTAAAGGACCAAGTCTACCGTAATGAGTTTGTTTTTCCAGCCTTAGTTAATTAATTTTAATTTGAAAACATATTAATAAGGTGACAGAATAAATTCACTTTCTCTTATTATTATTTTTTTCATGTGTGTAAGTGCGTGTGCATGTTTTAAAACATCTTTTTGATTGGGAATAAGTTCGCCATTATTACTTAGCTTCCCTTTGCCCAAAAACAAAAGGTTATATATTATTTCTAGAGGTGCTCTTGTTCTTAGATTCATATCCTTCCTATAAATATGAAGTTTATTTGCCCTTATAGGCATTGTATCATCTCACAACAAATACGTTTTTTATCCAGTAGTAGCGCTCTTCACTATAACAGTATCAAACTTAATTAAGGTATGTAACTCAGTTTGCCTCCTAATCATTTATTGCTAGGCCAGGTAAATTATGTGACGTTTATTTTAGCACAATAAAATGTATATATAAGGTTAATTAATTTAAATTAGTACGCGTAGCATAATGGTGGTAATCATAATGTCTCGTATTCCTAAATATACAAAGTATGTACTAACTTTCTCATCAATTTATATTGCCAAAATTATTTCCCTTATCTTTCATAGTGAGGTAACACATTTAAATATCACACATTTGTTAATGCACTAGCTTAATCCAATCCATTAAAATATATACAAGTATATAATACTAAATTTAAATAATTATAATTATTATAAAGTTAATATTATGAAATTTTATTTTAATATATACTACATATGTAACAATATTTTACACAATAAAATTATATTAAACACAATGATTATAAATTTCGATAAAGGATAGGGAAATAATAGAGCAAAAAGTCAAACTATGTTAGTTATTTATTCGATCTATTGTTTAACATGCATGGACTAGAAAACATGGCTTCAACCGAACAAGTCCCATCATCGGTGCTAAGCAACAAGGAAATAGCTGCAATAGAGGAGGTGATGGCAAAAGCAAAGGCTAAAATAGCTTCGGAAGGAAAGGTCGAGGCAGAGGTGCAATCGCTTACTCGAGGTTTCCTTGTAAACCGTACTAAGGACAATATAACCTTGCAAAAGGTTGATGAGCATAATTGGTCTGGAAAGCCGGTGACGTCCTACCCCGAGTTCATTCCAGTTCAGGATGAAGAAGTCCGGTTCGATCACCGAGGACCACTTCCAGAAGGATCTGTAGGGGGGATTGTTTATGCTGATGGTACTGATTCCACTGCAAGGAAATGGCTTGTGGCTTTTGACACTCCAAAACAGAAGGTACGGTATTACCCCCAAAACCCATTTCTATTTCCTGATTTTAGTCTTTTTTTTTTCTTAAAATAGAAAATGTTATAAGTAATATGGTATCTAATAAATTGAATAGTTAGAGCAAATATTGGTTAAATAATGTAATTTTTTTAGCAAAAAATGAACGATCAAATCATGGCCCTCTAACTTTTTGGCCCAAGATCCGGCACTGTTTTAAAATGTACTAGAATTAATGATTGTTAAAATTATATTGTGTACAGGCTTATGTAGAAGCCGGGCCAATGGGAGAAGTTGACTGGAATGTTATCAAAGTCAAACTTGATGCGTCTGAATATAGAAGTGAATACGAGGACCCAATTTTAGGAGGGAAGATATATGCTCTAAACTATGGTTTTGCCCTAGTTGCATATCTCTCGAATTAGCTTATTATGTAATGATTATTATTCAAATGGCTTGCTAAATGAGGTATTGAGGTTCCTGCTGGTTGTGTTATGCAAGTACGCATTTCACAATAATAAGCTTCGTACTACATAGTAGTTGTTTTAATTAAAATAAAGATCTCTCTTGTAATGCAAGCATATTTACGCTATATATATGACTAAATCTTCATATTTTATTATTTGAGTGTGTTTCTAACTTGTTTATTTAAACTTATTATATCGCTTATATATACGTAACAACCAAATTTAAAATAAAAGGCTACAAAGATAATTTGATAAATAAGTCTTGAATTGAATTCTCGTCCTCATTAATTCAACTTCAACATACAATCTCTAATTATTTGTAACTCTAGAGGGGTTGCACGGAGTCCTAGACAAATGTTATTTTGTGAGTGTTAAATGAAGAAGAGATAAATAAAATAGTACATAGATCGATCTATTTCGACTAATGGCATATGATGAGGAGAGAGATTAGGAAAATAACAGGTTAAAAAGGAAAATAATAGTTGCAAAGAATATACATATGAAACATCTATATTTTTGATAGATGTTGCTAATAATATAAATGGTTGTAGTATATATAATTGTATATACAATATACCCTAAATTCCTCGTCCACTTAACTAGGTAAAAAAATCATAAAATATATCTATATATTTGCACGCTTGGAAATGGACATTATTCACACACACTCCTTTAATATATAAAAACCTCTCGTAAATCTAGAACACTAATTTTATCCAGTGGCGGAGCCAGGATTTTTCAACTTGGGGGGACAAAATGCTTAACTTACGAAAAGCTTAACAAAAAAAAAAAACAAAAAAAAAACTCACACACAAAGCTCAAGGAAATTACCCCTATTATATGACTCCCCACTTTCATCATGTCCACGAAATGCCAAACCTTGCCCCAAAAGAAATCTTAAACAAGATAAAGATGCTTTCAAGCGGATAAAATATTCACTTTTAATCACATCACTTGCATTGTCAATCACATTCAAGATTGATTTCTTTTTTTCATCTCTTAAATTCACATATTTCTCATAAGCAAGATTATGAGCACTTTTAATTCCACCAACATGCTTCTCAAATCTTTTCCGGTTTATTCCATGCCCTAAACCCTCCATCAACAAATGCATCACCCCCCGGTTTAATACCAACTTCATTCTTGAACAAGTAACATACAAACAAAATGCAGCATCTTTTTCAATACTATATTCAAGCCAATCCCATTTGTTGAACCAATGAACACTAAAGCGACGCAAACCAGACACTTGTCTTGTAGGGAAGTCATGAGTTTTTGGTTGGCAAGGTTTTTTTAAGAATATAACCCTCCTAACAGCATTTCGTTCATTTGCGGGGTAATCCATAATGTTTATTCTTTTTTCCCGGATCATGAGGAAGAAGTTCAACATCATACACCAAATCTTCCTCTAATGGTACATTACTATTACTTGAACCACCCATTTCCATACTATTTTCTTGACTTTGAGGGGAGCTAAATGAAGGTGAGTTATTGGACTCATTTTCATTGGACTCATTTTCATTGAGTTTCGTTCTTTTAAACAAGAATTGTCGAAGATCGGGTTGTTTAGTTGCCTTTGATTTGTTTGAATTTGGTGAATCGTTTGACATTTCCTAATTAAATCGAAAATTATATATCAATTTCCACAAGACCACACTAATTAAATCGAAAATTATATATCAATTTCCACAAGACCACAATCCACATCATTACATAATAACAAAACCTAAGAGGCTAAGATTTTAAATTTCTAATTCAACTACACATTTCAATAATTTACAATAATTAATAAATTTAAATTCACATTTCACAAAAACAACCAAAAACTCTAACAGGGGAAACAATCAAACATTCAAACAAATATAAATCAATAATCATTTATCAATTCAAATTATTCAATAATCAATACCCACAAGGCCACAAATGACAAATTCACAATAAAAATATAAACAATTAAACATTTAAACAAGTAATAAAAATATGAAATTCAGAATTAAACATTCATTGATTCATACCTCCATTGAAATGCATATGACGAACAGACGAAGTGTCGATCGAAGACTCGAAGTCACGCTGTCACGCTGTCACGAACTCACGAAGACACGAACAGACGAACTCACGAAGTCACGGGCTCACGGCTGTCACGATTCACGAAGGACGAAGGCTCAAGGGCTGAAGGGCGGCTGTTGAACCTCGTCACCAGGGGGGAACTGCCGGCGAACGGTGGACGAACAGACGGCTAGGCGAGTAGGCGAACAGACGAAGTCACGATTTCACGAACACACGAAGTCACGAAGGAGGAAGGACGAAGGCTCAAGGGCGGCTGTTGAACCTCGTCACTGCTGCGAACGGTGGACGAACAGACTGCCGGCGAAGTGGCGAACGGACGAAGGCGACTAGCGAGGGCGATTGGGCGAATCGAAGACGAAGAGAGAGAAATTGAAAATTGAAAAACTTAGGGTTTGGCTTTGGCTGGCTGGAAAGTAATTGCATTTTTTTTTTTTTTTTTTTTTTTAATTTTTTTTTTTTAATTTTTTTTTTTGAAAATGGGGGGACAAGTGTCCCCACTCGTCCCCTTCTAGCTCCGCCCCTGATTTTATCAATATGCACCTCCCTCAAGTTAGAAGCATGACGATCTCAAATTCCCTTTGCACCAGAGCAATTGAAATCATCCTATCTTTGATAATGCCTGTCACAAAATGACGATTCAGTTCAATGTGTTCCGTTCTCCTATGTAACACCGGGTTTTGCAGGTTTTGAGCAATGTATCTCAGAATAACTAAAAGAAATGAGTTGCATACCTAGCGCATAAATGATGAACCCTTTATAAATTACCAAGCATGCAATTGCTTTAACATTTTAAATTACAAGCCACGTACAGTTGCATCGAACGATACTCGATCTAGCTGCTTTCGCAAAGAAACGAACAAAATATTGTATGTTGCCTTTTGATTTATCAAGACACCAAGAAAAAGGCTAGTAACACAAGCCAGGCCACCCAAGTCAAAGATATCCTAGAAAATGGTCAATTAAGCTATTCAATGCATTGTCATATCTCATCCATTTGCCAAACCTAACTCATTATTATGCTCGATGGGAAACTCTGAATTGAAGGTGTTCCTTTCAACAAATTCAAGTCCCACATGAAAAAAATAAGAATCAGAAGACTTTCATATAAGTGAGACTGCATGAGCAATCAGACTACACTATATTAATACGAGGCATTTTGGAAAGGTGTCAAAAAAAAACTTGTGGTCGGCTATAGGATGCAGACTTAAAAGATGACAATTACAACGATACTCGTTCCTCCTCTTAAAATGTCTATCCCGCAAACTTGGCTAAATTGACTTATTGTTATTTAGTTGTAAACTATTGGGCCTTAAAATTAATTCCTTTTTTTGGAGGACCATTATCAAAAAAATAACCCTTAGTAAATTACAAAGTAATATTAGTGGCAGGATTAATTCTCCAATATCAAAGAATATGATACCCATTACAAATTAATTTTGAAGAATCGGATGCAAACCTAGCTAAAAATTGATTCTTCTCCACAAATACTACGGAATACTATATCCTTTGACTTCATAAAGTGTGATACTTCATGCATTTGTTTTTGAATTTTCTTAAACAGAAAATTCGATTAATTTTCACAACAAGAAAATAGCCAATTCCCGATGGCTAAAATCAGTCCTACAGCCCTACGGTGCTTAAAGCTAAGATACAATCCTACATGGTTCAATTGTTCATAAGTAATAGTAGGTTCGACCGAATTACTATAGTCAAATCTTAGTTTGCTTGCTAGAGATCGATTACCGACAATTAGCTAACTCAGTTGCAAACCCTTGCATATATTTTTTTCTTTAATTTTGTGAGTTTTCTTACACACCGAGAACGTGTAATAACAGGTGTGCAATTCTCAAAGTCCCAAGAGAACAGGTTCAAAGGGCGAACAACATAGCAAGAAGATGTCGTTTTACCATCTCTAATTATTATTATTATTTTTTTTTTTGACAAAAGTGTTGGTTTGTTGTTGCCTTTGCTATTGTGAAAACAAAGAAAAAATACGTGTATTAACGCATAAATAATGCTTCAATGAATAAAATTTTCTAATATATCTATTTAAATTCTTCATCATTTATAAAGATATTCTTATTCTTCTTTTTTTTCTTTTTTTCTTTTTTATTTTTTTTAATTCAAATTAAAGCTAGATCATTTCAATAATGCATGCATGATTATCCTCATATATCGCCAGTTGTCTATAAATAGACAATCCTTTTGTCCTCTGGCCTTACATATCCTCAAATTTTAATTAATCTGTAACATATATACTATTTCAATTAAGGTACGCTCTCTCTTTTCACCCCTTGTTTTAGCCCCTGGCATTTTCATTACACTCAGATCAAATTCATTGATACTAATATAAGTGATATATGTTGTGAAATTTTAATCGTTTAAAAAGTGCAATTAAAGAATATGTATGTAGGTCAATATTTATGTTGACTCATGTTGTTAATTAATTCACATGTACGTCATCGAAATTGATCGCTATGACTTAAATGATGTGTAACTAAAAAAAATTTAGAAGGATAGATTAAGCAATTGAAAACATCGAATAGCTGAAATTTAGTCTTTTATTTTAGTTAACCATAGTCATCCGTAGTCGACGACTATGCTAGAAGCTTCGGTACAAAAGACTTACAAAAATAAAATGATACAGTATCTGCACTTAATTAATCTGTTTTTTTTTTCACTATTCATACATTAACAGATAATTTTGTGAGAAATGTAACAGAATTGAAGAAGAATGGCGTCGTCTGTGCAACAGAAAAGGGACAATGTGATGGGTGAGAAAGAAAAGGCGATGATGGAAGAGGGGATGAAAGACGCAAAGAACTACATAATGACAAACAACATAAGCAATAATCAGATTCAAGCAATGGCAGTGGTCTCCATCAGAAGCAGTTTCGGACAACGAATGAGGTCGTACAGAAACCATAGTTGGATTGGGAATTTTATGGCGAGGCTTCCTGATTACATCAACGGAGGTGATGGGGCTGTGTTTGTGCACAAGGGCTCTAAGGGGGCGCTCTTGTATGGTCTCGAGCGTGATGCAACTCCTCTTGCCCTTGGATGGATACTGTCTTGGTCCAAACCCGACACCCCTGGTGAGCCTAATAGGGTATGTATACATTTACTCCCAATAAAAAACACTCATTTTGCAAATAAGGCCCTGTTTTATTCACCTTATTTCCATTTATTTCAGGAAAAATAAGTTCGAATAAGTTCAAATAAGGGTTAATTAATAAGTTCAGATTAGATAAGTTCAGAAAAAATAAGTTCAGATAAATTGTGATAATTCATATAAGTTTAGATGCGTTAAGACAAGTTCAGATAAGATTAGATAAGTTTAGATAAATAAAAATCAGGTGAATAGAATGCACCTTAACTACCTTATAATTCAAAAAAGAAAAACACTTTTTATGAACATTATTTGTTAATGAGGCCCAGAACCAATGTCCATACAACACAATTACCTCTAATAACTAGTTAATTACACTCACTTAGCCCCAACTACCACTAAGTACACCCATATAACCTCAATTTCCCCTATTTTAGGGTTTTAATTAAGGGGTGGCTGTAGTCAATTCTACCTTCAGTATCAACAGCCCAGGGGGACCATAGATTTCCCTATTGCATATCAAGAAGTATACTTCATAACAAATTATGTATAATACTCGTATGTAATATAATATTCGGAATAACACAAGCGACTTAGTGTGCTAAGTTGTGACCAAAAAAAAAATGTACGTGTGTGGTATGTCCCTCGCATTGCTTTGCTTGGCTTGGCTTTGCTATAACCTGGACATTTATCATCTTAATAAAAATTAATGATAAATCCTTATAATGATTTCAAGAGTATGCAATGTTTTGATCTTGTTGTTCCTATATATGTCTTGTATTTTTTTTTTTTAAAAACAGTATATGTCATGTACTTGAGGCGTCGTTTGTGATGAGACTGATGAGTAAGGATTATTAATGCATACATTTATTAGTTTATAACCTTAGAAAATTTACCAAATTTTACTATTGAACGTTCACGAAATTGGTGCAAGTTTTAAACGGGCAAATTGAGTTCACGAAATAGGTGCAAGTTTCAAATGGGCATATTGAGCGTTTCAAGAAAAATTAGATGGTTCCACCCACCAATTGGACTCCGGAGGGTATTGGGGACCAAGGTAAGCATCTCGGCAATTTTTATTTCCGGACAAAAAAAAATATTTCAAAAATTTCCAAAATTGAAGGCTTATTATCCACGGTTTTTTTTTTTTAGGAATTTTTGACGTTACGGGGCCTGTGGAGAAAAGTCTTGAAACCCTAAAGGATACATTTTAGGATCATATAATGACTTTTGAAACCATATATGACCATTATATGTTGTCATAAATGTCCGGGTAGGCTAGAGTTAACGAAATCGGGGCAAATTTCAAACGAGCAAATTGAGCGTTTTTAAGGCAAAATAGATGGTTCCACCCACCCAGTTGGACTCCCAGAGGGTATTGGGGACCACGGTAAACTTCTCAGCAATTTTTATTTCCAGGTAAAAAAAGGTCAAAAAATTCCAAAATTGAAGGCTATTATTCACGCTTTTTGGGGAACTTTTGACGTTACGGGCCCGGTGGCGAAAATTCTTGATACCCTAGAAAATACATTTTAGAATCATATAATGGCGTTTGGAGCCATATATAACCATTACATGTTGTCATAAATGTCCGTGGTAGGCTTGAGTTTAATGAAATCGGTGCAAGTTTTGAATGGGAAAATTGAGCGTTTTAAGGCAATTTAGATGGTTCCACAAACCCAATTGGAATCCCAGAGGGTTATTAGGGAATATGGTAAAAATCTCGGAAATTTTTATTTCCGGACAAAAAAAGTTCAAAAAATTCCAAAATTAAAGGCTATTATCCACACTTTTTAAGGAATTTTTGACGTTACAGGGTCCAGTGGAGAAAAGTCTTGAGACCCTAGAGGATACATTTTAGGGTCATATAATGACGTTTGGAACCATATATGACCATTATATGATGTCATAAATGTTTGTGGTAGGCTTGAGTTCACGAAATCGGTGCAAATTTAAAGGAAAATCAGATGGTTACACCACACAACTCGACTCCCGGAGGGTATTAGGGATCATGGTAAACATCTCGGCAAATTTTATTTCCGGGCAAAAAAGGTCAAAATATTTCAAATTTTATCCACGTTTTTTGAGTAATTTTTAACGTTAAGTGGTCCAGTGGAGAAAAGTCTTGAGACCCTAGAGGATACATTTTAGGGTCATTCACTAGTAGAAAAATGCTCATTTGCGTCACCTTATTTGCGTCACTCGTAGAAACAAATGACGCAAATAATATATTTTAGCTTCACTATAAGTAATTTGCGTCGCACATTAACTACAAAGCGAAGCAAAAGACTGATATATTTCAGCTTACTCATATTTGCGTCGCTTTCATAAATAAAAACGACGCAAAAGATAATGTTATTTGCGTCGCTCATTTATTAACAGGTGACGCAAATAGCTTTGTGAGTAAATTGTGTCACTTCTTTCCTTATTGAGTGACGCAAATGACTATTACAATTACAATCCACTCAACTCTTCCTCACATTCAATATAAAACACTCTTGCTGCCTGTCGCCGTTCGAACTTCAAAACCCTAGCAGCTTCAACTGAAAAATTCCCTAAAATTCAACATCAAAACCTCAAGAAATTTGTCTAAATAGCCGAATCTTCAGCGCTGCCTTGTTGTCGTTCGTACTGCAAAACCCTAGCGAATTCAACAGCAAAACCCTGATAAATTCGACCCCAAAACAACAAATTTGACCCCAAAATCAATAAATTCAACCAGTAATTGAAAATCCCAAAATTTCCAAGCCAAAACCCCCCATTTTCAAGCAAATCCGAGGAAAAACACCCTATTTTTGAGCAAAAATCGACCAAAACCCCCACGAAATTCGAACTATTAAAACCGCTGATAATCGAGATGAAATACTCTACATCGAGGCTAGCAAGGGATTGCTGCTTGTTGGTGTTGCTGTTGATGGTTAGCAGGGGAAGCAGTGGAGATGGTTACAGTAATAAGAGGTGAGAAATTATCGTTTTAGGTAATAAGAAGTGCAAAATGATTTAATTTTGATTGATTTAAATTATTTTATTAAATTATCGTTTTATGCTATTGATTTATATGATGTTTTTAATTTTACTGTAATTTAGAGTTGCGAAATGATTTTAATTTTATAAGAATTTTTAACTTAGTAGATGATGTAGGGTCAAAATTTAATTTCATGAGTGTGTATTGATTTTGGCGTGAAATTAAAAAATTAATTTGGTGTTATAGTTGAATTTCTGTTTAGTTTGTTATATGTTGATTGGAATTTGTCAGATTATTGATTTAGTGTAATAATAGATTCTTATTACAAAATTAGTAGATTTTCCATTATAAAAATAAAGTATTTGTTTCTATATCAGAATTACTTCTAGAGTATTGCTTAATTATATTGACTTTTTCTTGTTTGGTCGAGTGTTTGTATCTAGATATAAAGTTAGATTAGTGAATTACTTGGTGCAGGTATGCAGCAGGTGCTTGTGGTTGATGGTGAGTGCGGTGGTCTGGCCTAGTGTAGTGGGAAATTTTTTGCAGATAGCTATTTTGTTGTTGAGTTGTTTGTGAATTGCAGGGGATAATGTCAAGGTTTCTCTCTCTTATATTTAAATTAACTCTAATCTTATTGTTATTCAGTGAATTTTCTGGTTTAGTTGTTCTATAATTTGAGGTAATAATTAATTTCTTACTTGATTTCTCTCATATTAAAAGTAATTTAACATTACAATTGAAGTTTTTAAAAAAAAAAATTACAATTAAAGCGGCATAATCTAGTTCTTCATTACTGAATAAGAATTTTAAGAGAAGTAGTCAAAATAATGACACAATGTTATTCCTTTGTTTTGTGTATGATATTTTTTTACCTCAAATTGAAATGATGATGTTAATTACTACTTACTGATAAAGTGATTATGAGTTGATGACATTCTGTTTTTGCATTTCGTATTTTTAAGAGAATAATAGCACTGCAATTTTTCATTTTGTTTTGTCTACGAGAAGACAGGTACAATGAACATGTTTAAGCTAGAAATATAAACTTTGGTAAAACAGGACTAAACTTATTAGGGCCGTGATTAATAGCAATTGTAGCTTAAATTGGTCCATAGTATTTGTGTATGTTATTAATCAAATAATGAAATAATCACCCAACCTTCCAGCAGTATATTAACTCTGTAGAGTTCTAGCTGAAATCTAATCTTTAGTAGTCCTCATCACCAAGTGTTCGAATCGAAGATATCATGATCTTACTCTGGAGTCAATGAATGATGCTAACATTGTAAAGAATGCAAAATTCGAATAATACGTTACTAAAAATCTCGGATTAGTTACTGTAATAGTTGCAATTGCAGAATTTACAGGAAGAATTATTGAAGAAGATTGATTTTGATTTAATATATGTATGATCCTTAAATCATGGATATAAATTTATCAAAACTGAATATAATGGCCTGTTTTTCTCTTTAAAGTTGTGAATTAAGTTCTAATCCGAGATGTTTTTCTCTTTAAAATGTGGTGAGAATGATATGATTAGTATTCTTATTTTTCATGCTTAGGTTTTATCTTGTTTGAAATGAGTTGAATGAGTCTATTGACTTTGTGGCTATGATGCGAGCGTGTAGTATCATCAAAAATTGGGAGGAAGTGAGATGTGGCTACTATGTCGTGTACTATATGTTTGAAACAGTTCAACATCACCGTAGTAATGAGGATCTTGTTAGTATGTGTTGTCAGATCTTTCACTACTAATTCATCAATTTATTTTAAATTGGCTACACTCTTGAATTGATTAGTTTTTGTTTTTGTGTTGTGTTAACAGGATTTTTGAAGAACAATACCTTATAATGGGGAGGAGATAAATGAGGTTCGAGATATTTAGTCAAACTATTTCATGATCAATGTTGAAATTTAGATTTAAACTTAGCTAAATCCATTTGTTTGTTAGACTTTTTTTTTGTTTTAGTTCTTAGGCTTGAAATGAATGTATTTGGGGTACCAACATTTTGGGTTGGTCTTTGTTCTTGTGTTGGTTGATGATATCAATAATTTTGAGTTGTAAAATTTTGAGACTCTGCTGAAATTTACATTTAAATTCAATAATATTGCATTTTAATTTCAATTATTAGCGTTAGCATATTACTTTATACCACTAGCAAGGAAAACAGGTACTACAAACATATACAAGGCAATTATTATAATTTTTAAAAAAAAAATTCACCTCATTTGCGTCACTCATTAAACAAACAAGTGATGCAAATACAACAATTTTGTATTGTCTACTCAGTCATTTGCGTCACTCCTATATAAATAAGTGACGCAAATAACAAATAAGAAGTTTATCAGAAGAGTCATTTGCGTCGCTCTTAATAAAGGAGTGACGCAAATAATAAAAAGAAGTTTATCAGAAGAGTTATTTGGGTCGCTCCTTTATAAAGAAGTGACGCAAATAAGAGTCATTTGCGTCGCACTTTTATAAAGGAGTGACGCAAATAACAAAAAACAAGTTTATTAGAAGAGTTATTTGCGTCGCTCCTTTATAAAGGAGCGACGCAAATGACTCTTATTTGCGTCGCGCCTAGGAGCGACGCAAATGACTTTTAAGTCATTTAAGTCGCGAGCAGTTGCGTCGCTCATAGAAGCGACGAAAATACACTATAATGAGCGACGCAATTAAGCCTTTTTCTACTAGTGATTTAATGACGTTTGGAACCATAGATAACCATTATATGTTTTCATAAATGTCCGTGATAGGCTTGAGTTCGAGAAATCGGTGAATGTTTAGAACAGGCTAATTGAGCGTTTTAAGACAAATTAGATGGTTCCACCCACCCAATTGGACTCCTGGAGGGTATTGGGGACTATGGTAAACTTCTCGACAATTTTATTTCCAAGAAAATAAAGGTCAAAAAATTTCAAAATTATTGAAGGTTATTATCCACGCATTTTAAGGAATTTTTGACGTTACGGGTCCAGTGGCGAAAATTCTTGAGACCCTAAAGGATACAGATTAGGTTAATATAATGACGTTTGGAGCCATATATAACCATTAGATTTTGTTATAAATGTCCGTGGTAGGCTTGAGTTTACGAAATCGGTGCAAGTTTCGAATGGACAAATTGAGTGTTATAAGGCAAATTAGATGGTTCCACCCACCCAATTTTGACTTCCGTAGGGTATTATGTACCATGGTAAACATCTCGGAAATTTTTCTTTATGGGGAAAATTGAAGGCTATTATCCATGTTTTTTGA